AATGCACTGCTAACCAGTGAAAACATCTAGTCATCACAAAACTTAAGCTAAATTAGACATTTATATTATAGTTGATGAACAGAAGTGATTACATTTCATTGACCAGAAGGACACTGGACTTTACACTTTCTAGGGATAGATCACAATGTAGAGAATGTTACTCTTTCAAAAGTCTATTTTTTTTTCTTTTCTTCTCTTCCTATATATACACATATAAAAACTCAGTCAATAATTCTCTATAACATACAAAATTATTCCATAACACATTTTACTCCAGGGCTATTAGAACTAAACTGGGTCTCTAGGCCAGCTGCTGTTTTCATAATTTTGTAATCTAACTAGATAAAGTCAAGATTTGCTATATTTTTTTTATGTTTTTTGGAATAATAAATCATACTTTAACAAATGAAATGTTCTTGTCAAAAAATCTAGGAAAGATATTCTTAGTAAATTAAATTTATTTTACTTAAAAACACTGTGGTAGGTAAATGTATGCCTTTCTCTAATTTTTATATATATTTTAAAATTATTGTATTAATAAAATTTTATTTTGGAATGTATTTTCTATACAACCTATAGACAATTTAATCTGTTACTAATAAAAAGCATATGCACTGCTAAATAGTGAGAACATCTAGACCTCACAAAACTCAAGCTAAATTAGACATACCAATTTACAATATAGTTGATGAGGAAGTAAGTAAATCCTTGTTAAGAACTGGAATCATCTAGTCAGGCATGGTGTACACACCTACAATCCCAGCAGTTTGGGAGGCTGAGAAAGGAGGATTCCAAGTTCAAGACCAGCCTCAGCATCTTAGGGAGGCCCTAAACAACTTAGTGAGATCCTTTCTAAAAATGAAAAAGGACTGAGGATGTGGCTCAGTGGATAAGCACCCCTGGGTTCCATCCGTGTTACCAAAAAAAAAAAAAAAAAAATTGAAATCATCTAACCTTTAAATACAGATGAGCCACAATTTATGATGGGGTCATGTCCTAATAAACCCATACCCATTAAAAGTTGAAAATAGGGCTGGGGTTGTGGCTCAGTGGTAGAGTGCTTGCCTAGTACATGTGAGGCACTGGGTTCGATCCTTAGCACCACATATAAATAAATAAAATAAAGGTATTGTGTCCACCTACAACTAAAAAATATTTTTTAAAAAGTTGAAAATACATTTAATATACCTAACCTACTGACAACCATAGCTCAGTAACACAGTATAGTTAGGAAATCAGTATATATAGAAAATCAGATGTTTACTTGCATGATTGCATGAATAACTGGGAGCTGTAGTTTCCTGACCCCACTCTGAAACTTGAGAGTATCATATAGAATATTGCTAGCTGAGCAAAAGATAAAATTCAAAGTCCAGGGGCTGGGGCTGTGGCTCAGCAGGAGAGCACTCATCTTGTACATGCAAGAACTTGGGTTCAATCCTCAGTACCACATAAAAATAAGTAAGTGAAATAAAGGTATTGTGTCCAACTACAACTAAAAAATAAATATTAAAAAAATTCAAAGTACAGATTCAACTAAATGTGTATCATTTTTACACCATGGATAAACTGTTAAGTTGAACCATCATAATTCAGAGATCATCTATATTAGATGGCTTCCATTCCATCTCATTCTCATCTATGTTTTATAAAGGAAGTAACTGTGGAAAGATGGTGATTCAAAATCAGGTCATTTCACAGGGACAAAACCACATAAATCCAGTTATATGATGCTAGACAAAGGTGTTAAAAATATACATTAGAGAAAAGATGGCCTTTTAAACAAATGGTGCTGGGATAACTGGAAATCTATATGTAGTATAATAAAATTTAACCCCCATCTCTCACCCTCCACAAAAATCAAATGAAGATGGATCAAAGATCTAGAAATTAGACCAGAAACTTTGTACCTCTTAGAAGAAAATGTAGGTAGGCCCAACACTCCAACCAACATGTCAGCTTAGGAACTGATTTCCTTAACAAGGACTCCTAAGGTACAAGACATAAAATATCAATTGTGGGATGGCATCAAATTAAAAACCTTCTTCACACAAAGGAAACAACTAAGAGCATCAAGAGAAAGTCAAAAGAAAGGGAGAAAATCTTTGCCACCTGCTCCTCAGATAGGGCATTAATATCCAAGATATACAAAGAACTCAAAAAACACCAAATAACAAAACAAATAATCAATAAATGAGCAAAGAAACTAAAACACAGACTTCTCAAAAAAGATATATGAATGGTCAACAAACATATGAAAAAATGTTCAACATTTCTAGCAATTAGAGAAATATAAATTAAGACTACACTGAGATTTCATTTCACTCCAATCAGAATGGCAATTATTAAGAATAAAAGTAACAATAAATTTGGCAAGGATGTGGGGAGAAAGGCACACTCATACATTGTTGGTGGGACTGCAAATGAGTGCAACCACTCTGTACAGTAGTATGGAGAACTAGGAATGGAACTTATATGACCCAGCTATCCCACTCCACAGTTTATACCCAAAGGACTTACAATCAGCATACTACAGTGAGGAAGCCACATCAATATTTATAGCAGTACAATTCACAATAGCTAAGCTATGGAGCCCTTCAACAGATGAATGGATAAAGAAAATGTGGTATGCATACACATGTATTACTCAGCCATAAAGAATGAAATTATGGCATTTGCCTGTAAATGGATAAAATTGGAAAATACCATGCTAAATGAAACAAACCAGTCCCCAAAAGTTAAAGGTTGAAAATTTTATCTGATATGTGGAACCTAATCCAAAATAAGGGGAGGGGGCAGATAAAAAAGAATAGAAAAAAAATCAGTGGAGTAGACAAAGGGCAGTGAAGGGAGGGAGCAGAAATGTGATGGGACATGGGAATGAATCTAACCTTCCTATGTACATATATGAATATATCACAGTGAATCTCACCTTCATATATATCCATAAGACACTAACAAAAAATATATAAGTAAATATCAGAAAGATCAGTAGAGTAGAAGAAAGGGAACAGGGAGAGGAAGGAAAAGAGGGAAAGGAGAAATACCAGGAACTGAATTAGAACAAATTATATTCTATGCTTATTATGTCAAAATGAATTCTATTGTCGTATATAACTAAAAAGAACAAATAAAAATATTGTCAAGACATACTTAAGCAATGTTAATGACAATGTTAACTTAAAAAGACAAGCATAAAATTGAAAATGTAAATAATTCTAAGTTTGCAGAATAATTTGTATGTGTGCATAGAGAAAAAGTAAAAGGAATAAAATAGAAATGTTAACAGAAAACAAAAGAAAAAACCAGGTCATCTGGTTTCAAGACCAGTGTTCTTTCAGTATTTTTCTGGTTCTACTTTTCTTAAAGTCACTAAAATTTACGGTTAATATTACAGAAAACAATATGCAAAGCAGGAAAGTGATATCCGATTTCTACAAAAACAGAATTTCAATATTCAAGCCCAAAAGCTTATGTATGAGCACACCAGTTCATCTGTCCACTTATTTACTGAGCCAACAATTTACCCTCTCATTATCAAGAGCTACATAAAATATCAATTGTGGGATGGCATCAATGTGTACAAGACAAACAAGACCTCTTTCCTCATATGCCTTAAATCTGAATGGGGATTGGAACTGATTTCTCCTTTGACTATTCTTCTAGTGTAGTTAGTTCCTCCCTTTGCAGGTTTTCACTTTTATTTTTCACTTCTTCTTCATGAAACATTTTATTGAGTATGTTTTGTAGTACAGGCTTTCTAGTTGTGAATTCTTTTAACTTTTATCATGGAAGATTTTTATTTCATCCCACTCTAGTCAGGATGGCAATTATTAAGAATATAAGTAACAATTAATGTTGGCAAGGATGTGGGGAAAAAGGTACACTCATGGGAATGCAAACTGGCCCAACTAGTATGGAAAGCAGTAGGGAGATTCCTCAGAAACTTGGAATGAAACCACTATTCTACCCAGTTACCCCACTCCTCAGTTTATATTCAAAGGAATTAAAATCAGCATACTACAGTGACACAACCACATCATGTTTATAGCAGTTCAAGTCACAATAGCTAAACTATGGAACAACCCTAGGTGCTACTCTTCAACAGATGAACGGGTAAAGAAAATATGGTATATATACAAAATGAAATATCACTCAGGCATAAAAAAGAATGAAATTATAGCATTTGCCAGCAAGTGGATGAAATTGGAGACTACCATGGAAAGTAAAATAAGCTAGTGCCAAAAAATCAAAGGCCAAATGTTCTAATATGTGGATGCTAACCCACAATAAGGGAGGGTAGGGAAGGGAAGAATAGAGGTTCATTGGATTGGACAAGGGACAGAATGATGAAGGGGGATGGGAATGGGAACAGAAAATTCAGAAGAATGAATTGGACATAATTTTTTCTATACTGATATGTGAATACATGACTAGCGTAACTCCATATTATATACAACCACAAGATTGGGATCCTGATTGGAATGGGTTGTACTCCATGTATGGATTCTTAGATTCTTATTATAATCTACTACCATTATTTAAGAGAAAAGTTTAAAATAATCTTTTCCTAGAAAAAGAGCAATCTTAATTTAAAAGCTTTATCTTCACAGAGATAATTTATCAATATATTTTAAATAAAGTTAGAAAAACCTAGGGATTAAGAGTTTGAGATCAGTGGTTGACAGAATGAAAATTCTGTACCACACCTGAAGGTTGATAAAACAATGATACTCACAGTTTTCTAAATGCGGAAATTTGCTGGATTAATACTTTCTAGAAGAAATGAGGTATACATGGATTATTAAATGGTTGCTATATTTTGCTGGGAATAATAGACAGTTTTTCTGGTCCAGAAAATTTCCTGTCTTAAGTCATTCTATATATGTAAAATGATGGGAAGCTAATTTGTTAGTTTATAAGGCAACAACTTGGAGCCTTCACACTTTCTATACTGGCTACTTTTTCCTATTGCTATAATGAAATACCCGAGACTGGGCAACATTATAAAGAAAGGAAGTTTATTTAGCTTGCAGTTTTGGAGACTCAAAGTCCAAAATTATGTCACAGGCTTTCACAACAAATCCCCTGGCTGCACCACCTCATGGAGGATGATATCATGATTGGAGTTCATACTAGAGGGAGAGATTACTTCATAATACAGGAAACCAGAGAGTGATTCAGGAGTCAGGCTCAGGCTTTTATAACACAATAGCACACTCTGTGAGAGCTTAGCACCCTCAGGAGAACTTTAATCCTTTCCCAGAATAGTATTCCCAATGACCTAAGGACCTCCTACTACCTCCTACTAATGACCCTTGGGCTTCCAACACATGAAATCTTGGTGGACAAAGAAATCAAAACTATAAGCACTTTCTGACTTAACAATGTACAAAACATCGACAAGAATTAATCATTGTATAGCAGCCTCTTTTATATAAAATTTAGATAAAATGCTATCACATTTTTGAGTAGTGAAAACTTCCTTTTCTTTTATGGTATAAAAAGAAACTGTAAGTAAACAAGTTATAAATTCCTATCCACAAAGACTCTTGGAAATAGATATTTTACTCAGTTTTCAGGAATGTGCATAATGAGGATGAGTCAATATTCAAAAATTTATTGGCTATATATTATATGCATGTATTACACTGGCAACATGGAAGGAAGTGGGTAATGTGAGAAAAATACTGTTTATCAAAAGGGCATGAGTATACACAATCTATTGGAAGAAATAGATTCTGAAATAATTGAAAGGAGGTTATTAAAAAGGCAAAGATATAATAGAGGAATCTGGAAAGTTAATTACAAAAAATTAATTTAAAAAAAGATGAAAAAATTGGAGAGAGGGAATCTGTTGAAATGATGCTGATAATAGACACTGAGCACTCAGAATATTGGGGGAAGAACAAGAAAGCTTTACACTGGGTCATCCCTGCCCTTGCAAGGCACCACTTTCAGCAGGATCAACTCTTGGGCTTTTTGCTAAATGAACTATTTCTTTTTCTTTAAATTTGCATATACTATCATCTTCTGAAGTTCTCATCAAGAATTAGTCATTCTACCCATTATTTTTACACAATATGAAAATTAATAAAATAAAAAATGTGAAGGACCAATTTAAAATTAAAACATTTTCATATTTTGCTAAATAATATTTAATATTTTAAGGTAAGAAATAATAGAAATTTGATAACCAAGATTTTTATTAAATTACAGTGTATTACAATTTATATCCTAATAGTAACTTTTGTATCTTTGGGGTAAAATGATATAAAAGCCTGCTGGTCATATTACTTCTTGAGTTTCTTTTGGGCAGCTTTCTTCTTGACCATCTGTAATCGCTTCATAGCATTGAGCTGTGATTCTTGTGAAGTTGGACCTTTAAGGGATGCTGAGGGACTGCTGCTGGATTCTGAAGTTGTTTTGCTAGTGGTATTTGCGCTGGGCCCTGATGTACCACTATTTCCATTTCCACTTAGTTGGCTGCTACTTCCTGGAACTAAACTACTGGGACTGGGAAGACCTACTTTGCTGACATTATCACAACTAACTGAGCGACTAAGGCCAGTTTTTCCTAAGGTTAGAGGTGGAGGGGGTTTCAATGGCACAGTGGGTGTACTATTATTACCAGAACCTATTTTGGAACCTATTCCACCTTTGGATGATGTTGCCAGACCAGTCAAACCCACAGGTTTCTGGTTGGCTGATGAGGTAGCAGGTTTTCCACTATTGTTTTGTGTTGTTGAACTTAATTTTGCTGTTGATGGACTGGCAGAGGAAGTTTTGGCTGCAAAAGCTGCCCACGCAGTTAGGCCACTAGTTGCTGAAGAGGAAACATTGGTACTAGAAGAATTTCCTGAAATAACTGGAGGTGTCTAAAAAAATAAAATAAACATTACATTAGAGCCAAGTATAATCAAAACCTATATAGTATCCTTGAATATATAACATATTTACTTTTTAGTCATTTTATACAAAAGTAATGGTTCGTAAAATTTAAATAGTAACACAAAATTCGTTTTTTTAAAAAACTGATCTGAAAAAACACACAGAACAAAACTTATCCATAGTTAGTGAGAGTGTCACAATTTGTAAAACAAAAAATTTTGAATGCCATATTCTTGTTAAATGATTCCAAAAGAAAATACAAGGAATTCCTTTTAGATTGTTACAAATCAGAGAAGAAAATAAAATTTAGTACTTTAACTTTGTTTTTTTTTTTTTTTTAAACCCGAAAAGGTATTACCTAGCTCAGAAAAAAAACACCTCATTCTTTAGACTCTGCTTCAAATGACTTGTGAATCATTTCGAAAACTGAATCCACTCTTGGTGGACAATAACGCTCACAACTGAAACATTCAGGAGGAAGATGCCTCAGATAAAACTTCAGTCAATAATTATTTATTGAATGAATGTGTGAGAGAAAGGAAATAGCTACATATAGATTCTAAAGCCATTTTTTGTTTTTTTAAAAAAAATTGCTACCAAATTTTGAGTAGCAGCTACTGCACTGCAAAATACATGCAAGTGTACAAAAGTTAACTACTTGGCAGTGTACAATTTTTATAATATATTAAGATAAAAATATCTTGTTGGGTATGGTGGTGCATACCTGTAATCCCAGCAGCTCAGGAGGCTGAGGCAGGAAGATTGAGAGTTCAAAGCCAGCCTCAGCAATAGTGAGGTGCTAAGCAACTCACTGAGACCCTGTCTCTAAATAAAATACAAAATAGGGCTAGGGATGTGACTCAGTGGTTGAGTGTCCCTGAGTTCAATCCTCAGTACCAAAAAATAAATACAAAATAGATAAAAATAAAAATATTTCATGATTTTAGTGTCATGATTTGTCGACATTTCTATTACAAATTATCACATAAAAGATTTCTACTTCCATAGAGAAGATACTATCAACTGCTTCATAAGGTGCCAGGTGGCATTTAGGTAGGTCTAAATTATTCCCAAATGTTTCTTAAGGGTATATACCACTTCAACTACTCTACCAACTCCCTAACTTGGCTAATAAGAAGCTCATGGTGATACCAATGCCACAATCTAAATATGTATTGCTCTTGTTCACAATTTTTTTTTCACTTTCACTTTGGGCAAAAATGTACTTTTATATTTTGTTCAAATTATTTTGAACTGAACTTCTTTATTTTTGGTTTTGATTTGTTTCTGGAAATTGAACCCAGGGGTGCTGCCTTGAGCTACATCCTGAATCCATTTTATTTTGAGACAGGGTCACACTAAGTTACTAAGGCTGGCCTGAAATTTGGTGATCCTCCTGCTTCAGCCTCCTGAATATGGTATAATCAGAGAATTAGACCATACCTTGATTGAATTGAACTTCTTAATGATATTCTACCTTCATATTAAAAGATCTCACCAAAGTGTTAGGGTCACACATAAGTAACGGGTAAAGCCTCATAAAAAATATCCTACTTTAAAAAAACTGTTATTATTATGCTTAAAATATATCAGGTTATATATTAGAACTGAACTCTGCAAGAACTAATAAAACATTTTTCGCTTTTACAAGATAATGTTTGGTGTTTACATATATACTTCTTCTTTTTTTTTTTTTAATACCTGGGATTTTACCACTGAGCTATATCCCCAGCCCTTTTTATTTTTTATTTTGAGACACAGTTTTGCTAAGTTGCTTAGGACCTTGCTAAATTGCTGAGGCTGGTCTCAACCTTGAAATCCTCTTGACTCAGCCTCCCAAGTCACTAGGATTACAGATGTGTGCCACTGCATACAGCAACATTGTTAACCAATGGAAAAGTAACCAAACAGTATGCTCTGTGATCTTTGCTTTGTAAGAGGAGGAGTCCAGACTTTTGTTCACATGCTCTGAAAAATGATTAAGATTTGTTTTTAAGTAATAATACTGTATGGTAACTATCTTAAGAGATTATCCTGATAAGGAAAAATACATAAAAAATAAATTCCTAGAGGAATTCATACTGGTAATAAGAAAAAAAATTAGTCAAGAAAGCAAAAGAACACAGATGTAGTATAGTTTTTAATTTCATTTTTAAAAGATTAATTTTTTTCTCTTTTCTTTCTATTAAACATAAAACTGTCTGCCATATGGCTAAGTGATATTTCAACAAACTTCACCAAAGAAAACCCACTTGAAGTAATTAAAAAGAACAACATTGATAAAGTATAAACAAGAAAGCAAGTTCTATGTGTTTGGCATTTTATTTTAATGGTGCCACTGCCTGGTATTGCTTTTTAGCACAATGACAGATGGCTTATAATATTATCAGGACACATAGAAGTAAAATAAGAGAAACATGGAAACCAAGTAATTTTCTTACTATTCAGTATGAAAAATAAATTTTTCAAATATTTTTAACAATACTTTTCTTGTCATTATTGAAGTTAGACAGCCTTTTTTTTTTACATGTAAATGGCAACAAAATGTTTTCATAGTAAAGTTATTCATTTTAATCATAAAACACCCAAACCTCATAAGCAGACAAAAATGAAAGCCAAGACTTTAACTGATTTGTCATATTGATTTCATAAAAATAAATGTTAATAACAGATTAATATAAAAATTATTAAAAAATGGTAAGTACTGGATATAGCAACCCAAATTAGTTTTAATAAATTAGTATTTCTCTTTCCTATCTCAGTTTGCCAAATTGCTATATGACAAACCAATAATGAATATCCCCTGGATATCAACTCTTCACTAGTAAATTTAAATAAAAAATGATCTGCAAATAAATATTAGCACCTTTCTCAGAGTACCTTGTATTGATAACCTTTTTCATCACACCAAGATTCTTGAATTTGCTACTCATAGCTACTGAGACAAGGTAGTATCCTTAGATTTTCTGGATTCCATCTTTGAAAATTTAGGGCTAATATTCTCTTCCTATATCTTTAGTATTACGCTTAAAATTGGAATATATAACTCAGTAAAAGTATTCTTATTAATAACACTATTTTATTCTATGATATAATAATTCCAGAATATTAGTAATAAATAATGTAATGCAAACCTAGGAATGAGAAAAGTGTTATACATTAGACAGTAACCCTTAGTATAAGAAGTAGGTACCATGAAAATTCATGATAATAAAGGAGAAAAAAAGACAATGTAAGAAAATTTCCTTGATACCCAATGAGTAGAGGAAAAAAAAATTAAGAGGATATTCAGTTCAAGTACTATAAGGTATAAAATTATTGCTACTGCAGTACTTAGAATTTGATCAAAATTCCTGCTGCAAATAAGTATCTAACTACACAAAGTAACAAGAAATGTCATCTTGAAATGATCACAGATTGTTCCTATTTGTGACAAAAAGAGAGTAGAGATAAAATAATGATTTTTTCCTAATAGTAATGAATCTAAATTCAAAATATAAAGTTTCTAATGAAATTTCTTATTAAGTAACTATTATTTAGTCAAATAAATTAAGATATAAATGTAGACTAAGATGAAATGGAATGTACCTTGACTTCTGCTCTCTTGAATGCTTGGAAGGTTGTTTCTTGTTTGAGTTTAGTTTCTGGTTTCTTAACCAATGGATCTTTGACAGCAGGAGCTACAGAAACAACTGTGGGGGCTGGTTTCTGTGGTGGTTTCTGAGTTTTTTGAGCCTATAAAAACAGTGTATTAAATTAATACAAAAATCTTAATTGAATGCATAAAACATGAAATTTGTCATAGGACTAATCACTGAATAGAAATAGAGGTAAATATTTTTAAAAATATTGTGACAACACTGAAAATACAGACTGTAAGACAAATTATTTTTATGATCATAATCATATTAGTAATTTGACACATTTCATTAGTTTCTACATAGTATTAATATTAAGCATTAGAAATCTTAGTTGTATTGTTTTGGAAATAATCATAGTTATTATATTACATTGTTGTGAAAATAATGACAAAGAAAACAAGTTTATACATGTTCAAGATGAAATAATTTTTCCCCATCAATATTTCTGATCCATTGGGTAGTTGGTTGAATCCACTGATGCTAAACCTATGCATTTGAAAGGCCAATCACATAAGCAACCAGTTAGCTTTATTTGTCATTAAGTGCATTTAAGAGCTTTCTTCTTGGGGTTCAAGCATGAGTCATTGAGTTAGAGGGTAAGTTAAAAAAAGCTCAGATCATTTATATGATTTTAAAAAAGAATGGGGGGGAAGTAATTTATTGATAAGCAACGAACATTTCTGAGTTTTTCCTACATTGCATAACTAAGTGAACTAAATCCTTACAGAAAGTTCATAAATAAAAATTTCTATGTTATCAAGAAAGAATTTCATTGCCTTTTCTTTTCTAAGCATTTTCAGTTTATTTTGTCTAATAATTTCTTTCCTATATTTTATAACTAAACATGCTACTAAATTCTCCTATAAATTCTAATCATTTTTCAGTTTTATTTTAGTGTTTTATAGGTAGATAATAATAACTGTGTAAAGAGTATGATGCAGTGCTTGACAGCACAGCTTTTAGAGTCAAATAGAAGCAGGATTAAAATACAGCTCACTACTTCCTAAGCTATGTTTCCTCAGGGAAAACATGTAAATCTCTAAAAGGCTCATTCTCTTCATCTGCCAAGTGAATAATACCATCTGTTTCAAAGGTGGGTTATGAGAATGAATCACGGTTACACAAGAGTTTAGCAAAGGGTATGGTATAGATTGTGTGCAACAATAATAATTGTTATTCTTTATTCATCATCATTATTTACAAAGCATAATTAAACAATCCAGAGGAGCCTACTAATATTGTATGGGAAAAGATACTCTCAGTCAGCTATTCCACAGTCTTGGACAATACTCACAGGTCCATACAATACCGAGGAAATTGTCAATAATTTGTCTCCATTCTGTAAGCCCAAGTTTGACCTATTTTATCCTTGTTTGAACCTTCTTGTGTCATCATCTTCTGCTATCATCTGCATACCACATAATCTTGGTCCGTAAGTCTCAATTAATGCTTCTTTTTATATTAAATTTCCACATCAAAGTACATCTACCTTCAAACATTACTTATAAAGCAATATTTCGATTAAGAGTATTATTGAGGATGTTAGAAGACTATATGTGGTAAAATATGAAATATGACTCTTGATTTCTGGTACTGATCTACATTTCCTCCATATTACTTATCTTAGAATGAGAACAACAGAATGTAAGTGTCCTGTCCTGGGTTCTTGCTCTGATGCTACACAAATGAATAAAACCTCATCTCATCCATGTAATTCATTCATTTCCTTTGCAAAGCAAATAAAAATAAACACTACTTACATGAAAAGGTGATGTCTAGAAACAGAACATACATAACATGAAAGTTCAGATATTCAGGAAATGATGCACTTAATCTAGCAAGGTCAGAGCATATTGGTATATAGTGAAGCAGTGAGAGAGAGAAGGCTTCAAGGGCAGCTGTGGTTCAAAAACAGAGGGCCCATATATGTACCCTAAAGAGTATAAACTCATATAAGTAAGTGAGAGCTACTTGAGTTACTTAGATAAGACTGGCTAAGTATTTTATATATATTTTTAGTTGTAGATGAACACAATACCTTTATTTTGTTTATTTTATGTGGTGCTGAGTATCGAATCCAGTGCCTCACACATGCAAGGCAAACGCTCTACCACTGAGCCCCCCAGCCCCTGGTTAAGTATTTTAGATGAATAATTCTAAATATTATAGTGAATAAAATAGGTTGAAGGGAAGCAAAGAGAACTTTTAAGGGACTATTGCAATAAACAGTGACAGAGTTGTGGAACAGGATAATAAGAGAAATGAAGAGACAGAGATATGTAAGAGGTAAAATCAACAAATTTAGCAAACAAACTAAAATAGAACTAAGAGAACATCAAGAATGTTTTCTAACTCAGGTAAATTGTGGGAAAAAACTAGAGAAGAGAACAATTTTAATTTTAAAGGCGTTGAAATTAAAGGACTTATAGGATATCTAGTCAGCTGTAAAACCTCATGAAGAAAGAGGGTTAGAACCATAAATACAGATTTGATATAAATATGTGGGAGAAAATTGTTTACTTTAGCAATTAAGAAAGTTACAGTGAAACAATTTTTTTAACTTTGGAAATATACTAAAAATAGATTACTGTTACCCATTCTTTTGACAATTATCAATTCTTGGTAATTTCTTGTCAATATACTGAAATGCACTATAGTGCTCATGTGAAAAAATTTTGTTTAAGATACTAGAGAGTATCTTATAAACTAAATAAAAATCAGATTAAACAAAAAAATTGTACCATGTCAAAGATATTTACTATTATAAATAAAAAGTATGAATACAATTGAAATTTTACTACTTTCTACAGGAATAAATAAAAACACTTCATATTTCTGATTAACAAATTAAACACAAAATGAATATCTGGAACTTTTATTTTTAACTAAGAACTTTTGAGCTTAAGAAGAAATAGGTAGTCAAGGAAATTTATGTAGAAATGCCTTTAACAGACAGGAAATCTCTTCTACCAAGAGTTCTTAATCTAAGGCATGAGAAGAAAGACCTGGGGAGAGACAACTCATTGAATTACATAGCAACTTCTTAATTTCTTTAAAGGGAAAATTATGAAATGAATTACTTTTTAAATAAATAAAAGAAAACTATCCAATATAACAAGTTATGTTAGTGAACAGTAAAAACAGAAAGTACTTTGGGAAAATGAGATAAATGGCCAGAGAAAATGAGAATGAAAAGATTAAGGAACAGACACACACAGATGGAAAGATAAAGATTCATGAATAGATGCTGCCTCTGCATACAACTTGTAAATTTGGTGGTTTAAACTCAGTTAGATATAGACATATTTTCTTAGCAGACTCAACAAACACTGAGGCTTTTTATCTTACCACTTTTCATGCTGCTTTATTGTATTATATGCTGCTTATAAATACACTGACATAAATAAGGAATGTTCATATTTAGTGAGTCTTCAATCTTGCTAATCTATATTAGAATAAGTTAAAATCTGAACAGAGAAAAATGCATGTAATGTGATTTTCAGGCATAGAAAACAAGTCCCACAAATATACTATATATCAAACATTAAAATAATCAGCTTATTTTTATTTTCAATGTTAAATGTCCAAATTTTTATTCTGAAAGCACATATCAAAAAAAAAAAAAAAAAAAAAGCATGAGAGACAGTTTAAATAGAAAAAAAATATGATTCCTACCATTCTTTTCATTTGTCTGGTACATCGAGCACAATACCACACCAGGCGAGGGTCATTCACTTCCTTGTCTGTCACCTGGGGTTTATGGCAATCTTGGTGGTAGAGATTATGGCACTCTTGACATTCTACTAATTGATTACCAGATGCCACTGTCATTTGTCTAAGAAAAAATATACCATTAAACATTATACCTTTCTGAATATAACAATTTAAAGTCATTGCAGGATTGTTCCAGTAAAGCTTAGTATATTCAAACAAAAAAGAAACCCAGAAAACCAAATACAAAAATTATAAATCCCAATATTTAGCCTGCAAAAACACTTTCTTTCTTTAAAAGTGTACGCCCAATCATCAATAAATATATAGGACTTACTAATTAAGTTTGGCTATATTCTCATCATTTCCCATTTTTTTTTCATTCTCCCAAAAGGTAGTAGAATTTGACCAGTACTCTAACAGTCTCATAATTCTTTTTCAGCGTTATCTATTAAATTTCTTTATGATAGTTAGCTGTTAAATTGTTCTGTCATCATCATTAATGAGTTACCAAAATGTAAAAACTGAACCTAATTATCTGCAATGCTTAGCATAACACTATGTAGACATGGGGCATTCAATAAATGTTTGATCAAATGAATAGAATGAAGTAATACATGTACCAAAAAAAAATAAGTTCTAATAGCACAAAAATCTATCATTACATATACAGATTATTATAGTGAGTCTCTTGAAAGGTTACAGTTAACTAAATCACTCCCTATTAATACTTTACCATTTATTTATAAAATAGTAACTTTCATAGTAAAGGCTGAAATAAAAAAAACATATTTGAAAACAATGAAGTTCTCACAAATGACCTTATTTAGAAGCACAATTATTTTATATAAGAATCACAAAAATACAGTTGCTTACTCAGTCTCAATGTACTCAAATGAAAACATTTTTATTAAGTAAATAGCAACAAAGATGGCAATTTTTTTTTGTTGTAAGGTGATGAAAACAATTAACACTTAAAACTAACCCCTGACATCAAGCTATTTCTGATTTTGAAATGGGTTTTATACTAAGCAGAATTATCTGTTTTGTATAACTATGCATTCAAGTCTTTAAACATCACTTAATATAACCTACATGCCTCTTTCATTTCCACTATTCTTAGAAAAAGATGTAATGGTATTTTAGGAAATGATATATATCAGCTTATTTTTATGAGTGCTATCAATAATTCAGAAAGGAAAAAGTGACATATACTTTCTAAAAAGAAAGATGGAGGTAACTAAGTCTACAACTGAATAGATTCTTTCTCAGAAATATGCAATGATCACTTCCCCTCGAGAATCCAAGAATAAAAAAAGGGTTACTATAACACGCAGATTAAAGAAGCTATAGTTAAGAAGATAAAAAATTTGATAATTTTCAAGATTAACATCTTGAAATTGCCATACGACATAATTCATAAGGTTATAATCTATTATTTCCTCTTCACTCCCAAATAATCAAAACAAAAAAGAAGGTACCCATTAATTACAATGATTTTGTGGGGGAAGAGGAGAGGTGGAAGATGTTTGCTCTTAAAAAGAAAAAAAAAAGAGAAGAATCATCATCTGTGGCAAGCTACAACTTACCTACAAACAACACAGGCCAATCCCATCTCCATGGCAAAATCATCAGCACTAGTCTCCTCAAAACTAGAAAGATCAGCCATAGCTAAATCCTTGCTTGTTTGGACGGTAATGGGAGAGGATCGTGTCTCTGGTTTCTCTAGTCTAGGTTTCTTTGGAATATCAACTCCTTCAGTGACATCTGGTTTCATCTATAAAAAGTACCCAATCAGAAATAATAATGAAAGTAATACTAGAACAAACTTTAAATCACTGATAAATAAGATGGACAGTGTGCAATGATCAAGTCTGTTTTACAGATATTTTCAAATAAGGGCAGATATGCACATTAAAGATTTGTAAAAGAATTATAATTAATTTATAATCAGCATATAAAAATAGCAATATATAAATAAATAAATCAGAACAGTTTAGTATATATCTGTATTTCTCTTGGCATTCTATCAAAAAATTGTGGAAGTTCAAATGAATTTACTTACGCTATCTTCTTTTTCTTATAAAGATGCTTTGATAAATAATAGCACTATTAAGGCTATTTTTATTTTAGATATTTTAAATCATGAACTACTAATATTTAAAATACATTGAGAAAAAGTAAATAATGAGCTATTTACCAGCCACCAAGACTTAACTCATTGCTCTAAAGCTAATTCTGGCTCCTTCAAGACATAAATATTATAGATAAACCTGATGAGCAAAAATTAAAATCTGGTAAGATGTGAAGAATTTGGAATTCTTGTACTTTTTTGGTTGGATTATAAATTTAATACATCCACTTTGGATAGCAATTTGGCAAAGCATAGTACTGTTGAAGATGTACAAACCCTACTACATACACTTTAGGTATAATGCTTTAAAAAACTATTTAATATGTCCATAAAGAGATAAGGAGAAAGCTCCATTATAAAAACAAAAGGAAAAACAGCCTAACTGCTTATCAGGAAGGGAATGGATAAACTGTTTTATTCATAGAATGCATTTTATATTGTAGCTAAAATAAATATCTAAATCAACATGCATTGATATAAATTTCTAACACACATTGTTGAGTGGAGAATAACTTTTTCCCCCACCAGAGGACATATATACACAGTATGTACCATGTGTATAAGTTTAAAAGTACAAAAAGTAATATCATGTAGTTTATGAGCAGTCACTATGTAGTAAAAGTATGAAAATATGCATTAAGTATGCCCCTACTTTGAGGGCAAATTATTGAAAATATTTTTAGTGTAATTATTTTGTTAATTACTAAAATTCTAATTACTATTTGCAGAAATCATCCAAAATATACAATCTAAGAATTATCTATATTTAAGGTGCTACCATTAGGTAACAAAATTCATGTTTAGGCATTTACATCTTTATTCATTTCTTTTTTCTTTTTTTTGTACTGGGAATTGAACCCAGGGCTACTTAACCACTGAGCTACATCCCCAGATCTTTTTATATCTTATTTAGACAGAGTCTCACTGAGTTGCATAGGACCTCACTAAATTGCTGAGGCTGGCTTTGAACTCACAATCCTCCTGCCCCAGCTTCCCAAACAGCTGGGATTACAGATATGCACCACAGCACCTGGTTCTTTTCTATCTTTATTTCTTTATAACCATTCCATCCAAAATCTCTGAATTATGGAGTAAAGCTTACATTTGAAATTACTATACCCCTAGGGCTCAAATATCTGTTGACAATGACTTCAGTAAATAGATAAGAGAAATGCTTCTAAATTTTACTCATTTTTCAAAAATTCAGTATCTATAGCAATCAAAACATATTTATTGAGTGGTTATTCTGTATCTATACATAATATTATGTAAAAGAAGTAGGCAAAGCATTATTTTTGCCTATGAAACATCTGAATTAGTCTTTCATAAATTAAGTTAAAATAAAATCTTACTTTATCAGCAGGTCTCTTTTCAGCTTCCTTCTTTACCTTTTCTGTTGCAAGGACTTTGCCATTATTATTGCCAGAAGGAAGACTGGATGATGTTTTTGGCTCTTGCTTAATAGAAATAGATTTTGTGTTTGAAATTTTGGGAGGTTCCACATCCTAAAGAATAAAATAAAAAAATAACAGTAATTAAATAAAATATTCAGACTAATAAATTGTAAAGAACAGATAATATATCCAAACAATTTTCAGTTAAAAACTAAGATATCATGGCCAATATAACATACTTTTCTTAAAGGACTTGAGAAATAATTGATATACAAAGTGCATATACTTCAAGTATGATAAATTTTGACATGTGTACACACCCATAACTCCATCACTGCTATCAATAAAATGCATATATATCCATCATTTCCCCAAATTTCTTTGTGGTGATTACAAAGTGATTACAAAGATAGTGATTACAAAGATATATACTAGAGAAACTTAGGCACTGAGCCTGGGACATGACCCCACCTTGAGCTTCAGATTCTGATTGAACTTTGGCAAATCTTGTGATTCTATCTCCCCCTTCTCAGTCTGGTATCTAGGTTCCCAGACCTGAAAACTTTGAAAGAATGTCTTAATAGGTGTTAAAGAACACAATAAGCATTGTCATTCACATAGAGCCCATGATGTGCCAGGTAGATACTACTCTAGGTGATAACATAATTTTAACAATTCTGAAATCTTATTATTCTCATTTTGCCAATAATCAGAGTCTGTGTGAAATGAACTTACTGTTTCTCAGTTTCCTCACTATAAAATGTGGGGAACACTTTAAACAATACCTATGTCAAACATTTAAACAATACCTATTTACAAAAGATCATTATCACAACTGAAATTAACTAAACACATAAAGCACTCAGCAAAGCGCCTGGGACACAGTAAATGTTCAAGCTGTTATCATTATCATTATACAATTATATTTTAAAAAGTTTCTCTGGTTCCAAAACATATATTCTCATTACATAATGGCTGACACTAGCTGCTTTGTTATTATCAAGACTGGAGTTATACATCTGATTTCATCCATACCTACTCTTTTCCCTTAAATTAAGATGTCCATATTTAATTTACTTTGTTGAAAAACCCCTATCCTTTTACTTTATTATATTTTTGTCCCTAAACATTAAGAGAATAATTAGAAGCTTAAAAAAATTCTGATCATAAAGTATTGGAAACTGAAGTAAACTGTGAAAAAGTAGGTCTCTATACACATCAGGCAGTAGAACAGAATATTCCCTAGACCAAACTAACTTTTCTGTGTGATTTAACAGTTCCCTGAAAGCTTAAGGGAAGAAAGTCAAAGAATACAACTTCTTCATGCCAGAAAGAAAGAATATCATGGCAGAGATTGTTGTGAGATAGTCTAAATATTACCACTATACTACTACAAGTGTTACAAATTTCTTTCCAAGCTTTTTTTAAATTTATGTAGGTACCTTTTGAGTTGGACGATAACTTGAATCAATGCCCCGAGCCAAGGATTCATCAAGCAGTGCTTTTAGCTTTTCAGCAGAATCCTTACTCTTTGAATGTAAGAAACCTAGTGCTTTCAAAAAAATGGGATCAAGTTCCAAGTTCACAGTAGCAGCCATTGCAAACACCTGAAGGAATAAAAGAGGTAGAAGTAATTAGTGAAAATGTACAATGACTTAAGTCAAAGTTTTATACATTTTGTTCTTTTATTTATAGTAGATAATACTGTGAAGATGATACAAAACTTAAAATGTCCAAAAGGTTATTACAGATAAAAGTTTCTTATTCCTGACTGGTGTTATTTAATTCTTTTCATCTGGAACAACCAGTGTTATGTTTTTTTATGTATCTACATCCCTGACATAATTTTAAGTGCTGATTATATCCCTCATGCTACAGAGCGCATTCTTAGGTGTTTTAAGATACATGTATAGTTTCAGCACACAGGAAACTAACTGAATTTAGGCCAAGTTTATTACATATTAAAATTTCTCCTCTTAAACCTATTTCTACAATAAAAACAAAGATTTAGTGTGCATGTGGGGTTGGGGAGCAGGCAGGTCACAGGAGAGCAACAGTTAAAAGGTGCATTAATTGATGGCTACAGAAGTAACTACTGCAACTTTTACCTCAATTTTTTTTTTTTTTTTACTTCCTTGGTGCTCTGCCCCAAATATTGACTGTCTCAGAAAACATATTAATAAAAACTTTATTAGTTCACATTTAGATTGTGGTATCTCATGTAATAACCTTATTTTTTTTTTTTTTAAACAGCAAGGTTTCTGAGGGATTGCTCCATATCTACTACACATATCTCACAGAGCCTACAATGTTGTGTGTCTTAAGGAGCTTAAAGAAAAGCTGAGATAGTTGAACACATACATCAAAGGCTTAGAAAATTCTAAAACATTAAAAAGTTTTGCTTTTAGTTAATAACAGTGCTATCAGGTGGTTCCACTTTTGGTTGTCACTTTTTCAAATATCTCTCCAGGCAAAGAATTATTAAAATAAAAATGTATTTTTTTGTGTGTTCAATCCTTTGATCAATATACTACAGCTTGAACTTCTCTTCTATCCTTGAGGTTAATATTATAATAATGCAACACACTAGCTTCACTGCAGTTAAGGGTCTGTCAGCGATTCTACAGTATTCTTCCATTTTTCAGGGACTTAAAATACCATTTAAAGCTTGTTGTAGGTTGAATCATGGTATATGAAAGCATGGGCCAAAAATGAATTTTCTCTTTATGCATTTTCCTTCTACTTCCCTCGTCATGTTTGACAGGAAGCACATGCAAACACCCTTAGGGTTTTTTCAAGTTTCCAAGAAGGCATTATTTATCTATTTGATAAACTCAAAGTTATTGTCAAATTCTGTGCTCTACAAAGTATCATCTACATCACCTCTACAAAGGAGTCCAAAGGCCAATACTATAAGAAAAAAAGTAACTGTTCAAACAGTCTTATTAGTAAGGATTTGACAAAATGGAAAAGCAGCTTGTCACTGCTTAAAACTGTATTATTATATATATTTTTTCTATAAAGTGGTAGGAAAAGATAGTTTATTTTAAAATTTACTCATGGAGTTGGGGATCATGTATACTTTAAGGAAAAAACAACTCCTCAGTACAATTTCCATGATTAAAGGTATAAACCTGCCACTCCTCCAGAATGTACAAAGGGAACACAACCTTACCTTTCTATTAGCCTAATAAGTAAAGGGAATAGGGATTTATTATATCTAGAACAATCTGTTTTACTGAATACTGACCAAGGGGTTGATACCTAAAAGAAACCTTGTAGTATTCTAGAAAGAAATTATTTTAAATTTATATGCTAAAAAAGATGGAACCAAACTATTTTTACATATTTCTATAATAAGAGATAAAATATTTATATTAAAATCAGGTGAAAACAGCACATAAATTATAAGAAATCATAAATATCAATATTTATACTTTGGAGTCAGTTCTTTATATACAATTCTATAATTACACAACTTAACAGGCTTTGTACCCCAGTCTAATTACAGACATGTCCACAAGTCCAGTAGTATACAATGTGGACGAAAATGTTAAAATTTCTATTTTTTAATTACAAAATAAGCTATTAATATACAGAGTGATGCATGTAATTGGCCATATATATGCATACATACACATAAACAGACCCTCGCAATTTTTTAACTCATGGAATAAATGGAAAAAGTTTTGGAGGCCACTGCTCTAGTCTATCTAGCAACTTTCAGTTTCCCCTTTCCTCTTCTTTTTTTTCCTTTAATTTTTATTGTTGGTTGTTCAAAACATTACATAGTTCTTGACATATCATATTTCACACTTTGATTCAAGTGGGTTATGAACTCCCATTTTTACCCCGTATACAGATTGCAGCATCACATCGGTTACACATCCACTGTTTTACATATTGCTATACTAGTGTCTGTTGTATTCTGCTGCCTTTCCTATCCTCTACTATCCCCCATCCCCTCCCCTCCCATCTTTTCCCTCTACCCCATCTACTGTAATTCATTTCTCCCCCCCCTTTATTTTTCCCCTTTCCCCTCACTTCCTCTTGTATGTAATTTTGTATAACCCTGAGGGTCTCCTTCCATTTCCATGCAATTTCCCTTCTCTTTCCTTTTCCCTCCCACCTCTCACCCCTGTTTAATGTTAATCTTCTTCTCATGCTCTTCCTCCCAACTCTGTTCTTAGTTACTCTCCTTATATCAAAGAAAACATTTGGCATTTGTTTTTTAGGGATTGGCTAGCTTCACTTAGCATAATCTGTTCTAATGCCATCCATTTCCCTAACCCCTTTCCTCTTTATACATCATAGTTGCTTTAAGGTACAAACTATTCTTACTTCAAAATTGTTCCAGTGCTCTCATTCAGCTCAGTTCTTCTGCCTCTCCACGTTAACTTCATTGCTAGCTCCTACTAATTATAAACTCTATTACCCTACATTTTCCATTTTTCCTCAAACACTCCTTATCTCTCTTTACTTTCACCACTTCCTCAATGACATTACATCCCTTATAACCTCCACCAAGGCAGTATTCCTTTGTCTTGTTCCTTCTCAAGAGTAAAAAAGAGGTCTACAGAGAACTTACTTTACATTATTTCTTTTAGAAAAATAGTCCATGACTATTATTTATCATCTCTTGAAGTTCACATCGGCATCTTCACTGTTAATAATATATAAAGTATCTGCACTAGGCTCTTATTCCTCTCTCCCTGCCATCATCATTGACAACTGAGAATCTATCAATGATCTTCTCCAACTTCTACACTCAGTTTATTTAGAATTTCAACCTTAAGGTGCTTTATCTTCAGCCAGTAAAATTTGAAACTTGTCACAGTACTCTTCTTTTTGACTACAATCAATCCTCTTTTTGACTACCATCTCCACCACTCTTTTCCATAGCCTTAAATCAGTAACTTCCTCAGGGTAACAAGTCAACCTTTCTTCTCAATTTATTTATTTTTTTCTTTTTTTTTACTCCCATTCCACCTGGTCTTTGAATTTATAAAGGCCTCCAATTTTTGGTTCCCTGCACTTTCTGCCTACTGGCACCTTCATGCCCAACTTCTTTTCTTCACCAAACAGGAAACAACGGTTAAGGTTAAAGTAAAATACTCATGGTTATGTGTTTTATCTTTTATATTTTAATTTTTTACCTATTCCACCTATCTCTATTGCCTTCTCTATTTTTTATTCTCCCTTGTTACTGGCAAATATACATAGTCATAAGGAAGTCATAAAGGAGTACGTTCTTTGCTGTTTCCAAAGACATTTTCCTTGAGTTATACCAAATTGTGTTACTTCCATACAATTCCTTTCCTGTACATTTAAAACCTATAACTAATGTACACTGTAAAAGAACCATATTATTTTTACTGTACATTAAAGTTGAGGAAAACAAAGTCCTATATACATGAAAAACAAAACATGAAATTTAATATGTTAAATGAAGGCTTAATTTAGAAACCTAAGTGTTGCTTTAAAAGAGAGGGGGGGAGAGAATGTAGAAATCAATATTTAACACTTTAAAAACTGTCAATGACCCAGGGAAATAAAAGCAGTTGTGTTGGTAAGAGTGAGTTATTAGATCATTCTAGGAATGAGTTATTAGATCATTCTATAGCAAATATATATAAGTAATACAAAATACCCATCACTAAACAATGATCTTTTTCTCTACTTCTTATTATCCTTTTTGATTTAATGTAGTATGTTATTTTATATCCTATCCACCTTACATTGCATAGTCTAACCTTTGAATAACTCTGCCAGCACTGTAAGCATCCTTGCCTCAGTGTCCTGTAGTTTTACCTACGTGTAGACACCACCCAGTTATTTTCTCCCTGTCTACACCAAAATTCTAAGTATAGCTGAGAGGAAAACATATATACTCTGTATCTCCAGAGTCACCAACTTCATCTTGGCCCTCAATACAATTTATCAATCCTATCATGTTTCCCTGATAAACTCCTTTCCCACTTCCTACAAATACCAGTTATACATTTTCCATTTTCTTTAAAAGTGCATCTCTACTTCAGTAGATAGCCTCACTGATTTCACAGAGAAAGCAGAAGCTATCACTTGGAATTAAACCAACTTCCTGCCACCCATCCTTTCCTCTTTTCCACCTGATAGAAAAGGAGATGGTTCTTTACACAATGCCACTTGTATTTGGATCCTATATTTTCTTACACTTTCTGGAGCCTTGAGCTATAAATTATAATATTTTTTATTATTTATGACTTTTTCTTTCTAGTGGCATTTAAATTTATTTGAGACTTGCCTATCCTGTCTTCTAGCAAACTTCCTCAGAACATCTTTATTTTTTGCACTTTTTATTCATTCCTTCCCCTTGGACTGCAATTTCTACAATTTGACCTTTGCCTCACTATTCTATGAAAATGCTTTTACCAAAGTCATTTTTCAGCAAATATAATAGAATTTTTCCCTTCTGCTTCTTTCTCAGTCTTTTTTAAAAGGCTCCTCCTGTTTCAATTAAAAATGAGATCCTCAAGGCTAGATTCTGGAATTCTTAGTCTACTCCTTCAAAAACATGTTGTCCGGATCAGCAGCATAGGCATCACCTGGAAATATATTAGAAATGAAAACTTCTGGTCTCCACTCCCAGACCTACTGAAAAAAAAATTCTTTTTTCTGAGAGGGCCAGAAATCTGTGTTAAACTCTCTTCGGCAAGTCTGATCCACTCTATAGTTTGACAGCTTCTACCCTAGATCATTTGATCTACAACAGTCTTTTACCAATGATTTTAAATTTCTTTCTCCAGCCTGTGGCTCTCTTACAAGATCCAATTGCCAGCTTGACCTGGCTATTTCACTGGGACCTCCTAATGAACACATTCCTAATAAAACCTCTCATACACTCTTTTCTTATCATCAGTTCTTCCTCTAGTATTACCTTTCTCAAATGATATTTACCCCATTGTAACAGCATGAAAACTGGGAATCAGATTGAATTCCTCCATTTCTTCAACTCCTACCCCCAAATTCAATCACCAAACCTCTTAAATATATCTCAAATCCATCTATCTTTTTCAATTCCTACTACTACTACTACTCTAACTCAACTTATCATCATCTATTATCTGGCCCAGTGCAATAGCCTAACTGGTCTCTCCATAACCATTCTTGTCCTCCTTCAAATTTTTTCATTTCATTTATTTAAAAATACTTTTGATCACTTCTCATGGTCCAAAGTTAAAGAACAAGATTCTTAACAAGGTCTCTAATGCCTTACATGAAGATCTGGTATTACATTTAAAGCAGTTACAACAGTATATGGCACAAAATATAAAATTATTAAATGTTACTTTCTATTTCAGGCTACTCTCACTCTGTTATAGCCACATGACTTATTTCAAGTCTCCAATATATAATAACCTTTCTTATCTCAGTGCTTTAGTAAAAAGATTGCCTTACCACATTTTAGTCATCCTTCAAGTCTCAGGGTGTTTTTTTTCCTGCTCATTTCCTCAACAAAATTAGAAGTCTTACTATTGTATGGCTCCCAAACTTTCTATATTTATTGGTAATAGTCATCAGTGTTAATCATATAAATGATACCTATATTTCTCAATCGAATGTAAATTTTCTGAGGGTTGGATAGGTTTTACATACTGCTGTAATCTCCGTGTCTACCAGAATGCCAGGCAAACAGCTGGTCTTCGGTAAATGCTGATCAAGTAAATATAAGCTCGGTACTTTCTCTTTCAGAAAAGTTTCTCCTACTATAAGTTCTGTTATATTCATTTTTTTTTTTTTTGGTTTTTCCACTTGTACCTCTAACTACTTATTTTGTGGCTCATTGCCTCATTTCTATTGCTCTTAGTATTGCCCAAGTATTATATCCTTAGCTACTTTATTTCTGTTACCAACTTATTCTTTGGTAATTTTATAGATATTATGTTTTAACTATCATCTCCAGACAGATTATTTCATATGTCTTTCCTTCACTCTAATCTCTCTTAAACTGGAACCTCATATGCCCAATTACTTAGCAGACATGCTTACCTAGATGCCCTATTGGTATCTCAAACCCAGTTAAAACTAAAATTGGTATTATGAATATCTCTCCCAAAAGTTCCTTAACTTGTACTCTATTTAAGTAAATGATATAACTCTCTGTAATGAGGTCTGAGGTCTAAATCTTTCTCTCATTGAGTTTTTTCCTATTCCTTATATCCAAAACTATAAGCCGGCCTATCCTGTAGGTTCTGACTCAGAATGTGTTGTTTTTCAGTTGTACTGCTGCTACTAAAACTCAGAGGTCTAAATTAGCTTAGTTGAATTATACCAATAATCTAGTTATTCTCCTTAACTTCAATATTTGCCACATTAATTTTTGTGAAATGCAGCTTTCTTTTTCTTTTCTTATTTTTGTCTGAAAAATTAAGCTTTCCCATTGCCTTCAAAATAGAGCCCAAATTTCTTGGCCTGGCATTTAGAAGACAATTCATTAACTGACATGAAAGACCTCCATTCTTTAGACCCAGAAATTCCTTACAGCAGAGCCAATACTATTTTTTTTTTCCCTGCCTGGAAAGCTTTTTACCTATTTAACTTCCACATCCTATCAATATTATATCAATATACTTCCACACCCAGTTCAAATATTACTTCTCATGAAGACTCTGGAATCTGCTATGTTTTTCCATCCCAAATTCTTTTAATAGTTTCTTTCCTAAGGTATCTTTTAATACTTTTTCATGGTGCCAGGACTTTCTACTTTGAGCCACATTCTTTTTCACACAGGTGTTATTATCCCTATAAAACTGAGTACTTTTTTTTTTTTTACTATTTTTTTTGCTTCTTTGTAAATTATCACAAAAGAAAGGATATAGAATTATTAGATTAAGTGATCAAAGCAAAGTATAACCATCTTCTCTCTCCTACATAATTCTAATCATTCCCAGGTCACTTCAGCAAAAGGTAAAAAAGAAACTCCAGCCTCCAACAAAACCAAATGTTAAAAAAATGAAACAAAACCCGCCTCTTGTATGACTAGGAACTTGTACAATGTTCTTATCTACAATGCTGTTTTCCTAACCTTTCACTTGGCTTAAATTCATTAATGCCACTGAAGGGTAAACTTCACGAGAGAAGGGATTTTTGTTCAGTTATTTCTCTGTTCTTGGAATTTAACGGGTGCTTTTACATTTTTATTGAATCAAAGAACTAGATTTTTGCTTAAATGTCATTTTTTTCTGGGTTTGTCCAATCAAAATTGGGTAGTTATAAATAAATATAAATGTTATTTCCTAGACCTCATTTTCCACCCTACATGATAATCTCAGAATCAGCTCAAAGTTGATCATCTGCATGTGCACAAGATAAACAAAAATGACTCAATTCATGCAGAATGCAATATTACAGCTACTATCTCACGACGGGTCAGGGAAATCTTTCTGTTCATGTCTTTGCAACGCTTTTGCAATCCTTTTCGATAAATATTCTTTTAAAGATGCTCCCTTACATTCCTCCAAGGAGTACTCAGCCTTGAATTACATTAACGCTTTAGAGACACGTCTGGAAACGCAGGACAGGCGAAAAAGGCCCCGAATCCCAAATTAGTCAAACTGTAGAGAAGCTGAAAAACAGCAGGAGACAAGTAAAAACGAATGTCAATCCTTTGATCAAGCAAAACACACCGAGGGCCTAGCACGGGGGAAGGTCCTTGACATGGGAACCAGATGATGATTAAATTGCTGTACAGAGAGGTCACTGTAACCCTCTAAGGACCAAGACACAGTTCCAAGGACTTAATCCCTTGAGCTGGGTCCCTAGTCCACAACACCCTCGGAGGAGGCAGTAGTGTTCACTCTAAGGGGAGAGCGATCAGGCTGGGGCACGCTTCCACCAGCAAATTACGAGGTTTACCCTAACTAAGCGAGAACACCAAGACCCCACAGAGGTCCCACACGCCCCTCGAGGGGGTCTCGAGCCTCCCAGAGGCATCTGGGAGCAAGTCCCTCGTCATAACTCACCGCTCCGCCCCGCCACTCGGTCCGTTCCCGGTGGCTTCTTTCGAACCGGTCCGCGCATCAGCTGGCTCCGAAAGAGGTAAAACAAAGGTTCCCGCAGCAGAGGCGAGGGAAATGTTTGGCAGTGAGACAGAAGGAAGTGACGTAACCCATCGGCTTCCGGTCCGCCGGATTATGAATGACGGGTGGCGCGGGTATTCTAGACGTCTTGCCTGTTGTTCTTTTTTCTCTCTGGAAGCGAGGCGGCCCGTGGCTCGCAGAAGTAGCATCGGCATCCCGGCTCCGGCCGGGCGGAAAGGCGCAGGCGGCAGGTGTCGCCGACACGCTCACGCACCCTCCCTGCCTGGCCGCGCCTCTGCGACCAGGTAAAGAGGGCGCTCTAGCGGCTGGCTCACTCGGCCCCCTCGACCCCTTAATCACCGTTCTTGCAGTAGGAGTTGACAGGGGTGAGGATGCGCGGAAAGGGTGGGAAGGGCAAGGACTTGAAATCATTGTTCCAAAGTCTCTTCAACCCTGAGTAAACCTCAGACTTTCTGGCCACAATTCGTGAGGGTGCGCAGGTGGAGGGGTTTGTTCCCTTTAGCAGCTTTTTTTTTTTTTTTGCTGTGTCCTGTTTCCCCCAGCCAGTTCTCACCTATTCTTTACCTATTGAGGTCTGGAGCAACTTCCAGTTGTTGGGGTTTGCGGGGCCGTTTGCTGTTAAGTGTAATTACAAGACTTCTTGGATCATGCTTTTAACTTTTGTCACTTAGTTTTCCATTGCAGCTCTTCCTGATTGGAGGAAGTGAATACTATTTAATAGTTACTCCACACGATATGCATCATTTTAAGACATTTATTCATGTCACACTATCAAAGCAATGTTTCTCTTCGGTTATTAACTTATATAGAAAATTTGTTTAAAATGCATAAAAGTTACTCTGGCTTCAAAAATGTTTTCTCATACATGTACTTCCCATTTCACCTCCTACCTGGTTTTGGTTTTAGGTGACTTTTTTCCCTCTCTTTATTCTTAATGCCAAGATCTTATTCCTTATCATAAATTCTCGAATGGATGGTAACACTTAGTATTTCTCGTTCTAAATTATTGATAAAGAATAAATGAATAATTTCTGTGTTTTTAAAGCTCATCTGGAGAAAATTTTTACAATAGAAAATGCAAAAGCTTGCAAGAACTAGTGATGTGATAAATTTAAACATGTAAATATGGTCATTTAGATATTATGAAAATAAACTAATATTAAACACAACTGAGTGATTTGCTGTCATATTTAATAAATCAGACATTAAGCAATATTTTCTTAACTCCTGGGGGAAAGTATATGCTACTGATATGATTGCCCTAAGCATATCTGTTACTTGAAATTGTGTTTGAGTTATACCTGAAGACATCATATTAAGAAGCCTAACTCTTCAAGAACAAGACTGACAAAGTCTGAGATTTGAGAACTGTTTTATTAGTTTATTATTTTATTTACACTCCTGTGTGTTTTCCCTACTTGAAACAAAGCCCAAACTTGATCTTCTGTAGGAATGGGCCCATTGAGTTTTGTTTTAAACATGTTTTACTTTGTAGCTTTTATATAGGGGCCTATGTGAAATAAGAATACTTAATATCCAATTTGCCTTTTATTAGCAACAATTTAGCAGGCCTTGCAACTAACAAGTTCTGAGGTTACCCATGAAGGTAGCCAACTGACATATTTGTCAATATGCACAGGTACCTGGTATATGTGTTTTTATCCATAAGTAATCAGGGTAGCCTACTGAATTCTGTTATGATTAGTACTTGGAATGCAGGATTTTAAACTATATAGATCATAACAAGAACAGGTATGTTTGCTGTAGAAATTCAGTAATTTTTGTGTTGGGCTTGCTAATATTTCTAATCTTTTAAATATTTCATGCTGGGGATCCCTGTTAATTATGAGGTCAAGCTTAGCTGCCAGAATTGACTCCATGGCAACAGATGATACCCTGCTTCTCCAGAGAGATTACAAACTTCTTTTATGACTAGGGTTATAGTAAGTTCTTTTTTAGTTTAAAATTATTTTTGAAGTTCTAGCCCAGATAAGAAAGCAGTTAATTTTAATCATAGGATTTATCCTTTAGAACTTAACTATCTCCTGCCTCCTCTTTATATAATGTAATAAATGCTGGAAAAGTTCAGATTTCATTTTCCTTGATCTTTAATATTTAATATAATTAGCATTGTCTATCTTTGGAGAAGTAAGCTTTTCGTTTCTTTTTTTTTTTTACAGACTTGTATCATTGTAATAAAATATGATAGAATTTGAAAACAAATAGTGCTGTTTATGAAAGGTATAAAATATGAATTAAGTTCTAATTATTCAAAAAGCTGAGCAATTTGACATGAGAGAATTTACACAAGTTTAAATTTTAATCTTTAAAACAAGTATTTTTTGTACTTGTAAATTGTGTCAAACTACTTATTTTGTACAATATTGTTGGTTAATATGTGGACTTACAGAGTTTCCCATTTCTAGTGTACCATTTTATGACTCAGTTACCAAGTTTTTCCAGTATTTGATGGACAAAATACATAATATTCCCTACTTTTCCTGAGAAGATATTTTGGAATGTAAAGCAAAATTTGGATTTTTGTGCCTCAACATTTGTGCATTTCAATAATGTCAGTGGATAAAGAATTCAGAGATAAGTTATAAATGAATAATAGGGGCTGGGGAAATAGTCCAGTGATGGAATGCTTACCTAACATGTGCAAGGGTCTGGTTTTGACCAGCACTTGAGAAAAACAAAGAGAATAATAATAGCTGGAATTTGGAGACTTACTATATGACAGTCATTGTTTTGTTCTCACAGCACAATATATGATAGGTACTGTTATTAGTATTCTTATAAAGAGAAAATGAAGGTGAAGAAAAGTTTTATAGGTACTAAGAACCAGAATAGAGTTTGGCCAAGTGTCTGGGCTCTTATCCATTACTTTATAATTCTTATTGTATAAATGTTGTACTTGCTAGATAAGTATATAGAATCTACTTTAGATTCTTACTACTTTTGCCTAAATATCAATATAACAAAAATTTTTAAAGTTTATTCAGAAGTTTGAGTGTATTCCAGTTATACATTTTGTGAATCAGCTCACAAAGGTGATCTTGTTTTTTTTCTTATTAATTTGCCTTTACCCTTTAAACAGATGAATTTGAAAGAGAAAAAAAAATGGCATCATAAAGAATGAGGCATGTGTTTACCAAGAATGAATTTCTTAATAGTATTCTCAAGGTAGTAATTATTGCCATTAATTTGTATATTCATTCCTTATTCATTCCCTGAACTAAAATTTGAGCACTATTAAGTATTGGAGATAAGTGTCAGGTAATATGTGCTACAAAGGAAAAAAAAAAAGCTGGATAAGAAGCTAGAAAGTGATTGGGAGAGACTTTTCCATTCAGGTAGTCAGGAGAGGCTGCTTTGAGATAATTCTTATGCAGAGAAATCAATGAGATGAAGAAAGTGAGTATCTTGGACAGAAGCATTCTGAGCAAAGGGAATAGCAAGTACAAAATTCTCAAGTGGAAGTGTTCCTGACATCTTCCAAGAACAGCAAAAACTATTGTTGAAAGGGGGTGAGAAAGAATAGTAGATGAGGTCAGAAAAGGATAGGTAGGATCTCATTAATCCCCATAGGCCATATGGGACATCTGGATTTTATTCTAAGTATCGGGGGAATCATTGGGTAGTTTTGGGCAGGGTCATGAACTAATTTATATTTTTAAAATATCACTCTGACTTATTGGAGAGTACAATAATATGTGGAGAATGGGGCTGAGGGGGGTTGTTAATAGGCTTTTTTTTTTTTTTTAGTAGTACTTTTAAGACTAGGTGATGACTTAGATTTGTAGTGGGAGAGGCAATGAGAAATTAAATTTAGTCTATATTTCAAAGGTAGACAAGTCAGGGTATGAGAGGAAAAAGCAGTTGAGCAGGATTTCAGACTTTGTTTTAAGTAGCTGGGTGAATGGTGTTTCATTTGACCAAAAACAGGACCAATAAGGAAAGAGGAATAGGTTTGGAAAAATATCAAGGTGGTGATGTCAAATAGAATATAGGAGTGAGTTCAGAGGAGAGGATATGGCTGTGGTATAAATATGGGAGTCAGATGATATTTAAAACTGGCACTGGAGATCACCTAGAACAGTGATGTCATAGTGTGAATTGTGTCCCATTAAGGGCGCATGAAATCAATTTATTGAATTAATAGCATTTTAAAAGAAAGAAAAAGTATGAACTAAAAATACCAGATTTATCCCACGTAGTAGAGTTAAGTATTTTTTCCAAGACATTTTTGTTTTGTTTTTATTCTGTGCATAGTGATATTATAAAATTTATTTCTTATTGTGTGGCATGATCAAAAATTTGAAATCCAGTAATCAAAAGATTAAGTATAGAGGGCAAAGCCCTGAGCTTTGGGTCACTGACAGGTCTGAGAAGTATCCAGTAAAAGAAATCAGCAAGAAACTGCCCCAAACTTAATCCAGTACTGAGAATCATCAAATAACCCAATAGACCAGTCTTTGGAATGGAGTTTTTTGTTTTGTTTTGTTTTGGTTTGGTTTGGTTTTTATACCAGGGATTAAAACCACAGATGCTTAATCACTGAGCTACATCCTGAACCCATTTTATTTTTTATTTTGGGACAGGGTCTCACTGTGATGCTAAGGCTGGCCTCGAATTTGCCATCCTTAGAGTAGAGATCTTTCTCAAGAGTTATTGAGACTAATACCCTCACTTAAAATAACAAAGTTTCTAATGATTTTCACTTTGGTTAAATTATTGCTTCAATAAAATTGCAATGGATTTCAATTTATAAAATTCTAAGTTTATATAATAGTACTATTTTAAAAAATAATTTTTAGTTGTAGATGGACACAATATCTTTATTTAATTTTATGTGGTGTTGAGGATCGACCCAGTCCTTACCCATGTGAGGCAGGTGCTCTACCACTGAGCTACAGCCACAACCCCTAATAGTACTATTTATATTAGAAAAATGCCTATTCTGAGTGTTTTCAAAGTTCCCCTTATAAATTCAATTATTTCCCTTTTTAATGAAAAAAAATCACTGGCTTATAATATGCTGCATAACAAATTTTT